GATTCAAGTGACCAACGTGTTTTCTCTGGACAAAAGCCTCAATGTATTGTGACCACATTGCATTTCTGATAAGTGAGGTGAAACTACAGTTCTGTTTCACAAAAAGGCAAAGGATTTCAACTTTGTTTTATTTGAAACTTTGGCTTAAAACTGAAATGCAGCTACGCAAATAAACTTTTTGAAAAATAGGTCCTTTTTAGTGTATGAGTGTGCATAGTGAAAGAAGAAGAGAACACGAAGAGGACTTACACCTTTCGGAATTACTGCGGGAGCATACATCTCACTTCTCTGAAAGGTCATGTGAAACCTTACCTGCAAAGGCAGCAGTCAGGGCACTTTAGGGAAGCGGTCTCTTCCGCCTCTTTCTGGTTTGGGTTTCTTTGATGATCTGGTGAACGTGTCCCAGCAACTGTACCTCTTCCTGGAGTCTTTTCTCTGAATTTAGGAATGACTGGTACGTTTGAGGAAGCCAAGGCCGACTTTTCTGGAATGTTCGCTAAGGCTGCCCACAGCGCTCAGCAGCCAGCAAGGAGGCGGCGCTGGGGACCGCCGGGCGCACAGACCCGCTTCCATCAGCACCGCAAAGCCGGCAGCACTTCAGTCTGCGGCGGGCTCTCTTCTCCAGAAACAGGTACAGTTGCTGTCCACACACCTCCCCCTCCTGCCGACCTCGCCTTAATTGAAATCTGACCAAATGAATGCAGCAGTTGGAATGGGGGGCAAAAACCCAAAGACCTGTGTGCTGGGTGGTTTGTGAACGTTTGCGCCGTGCGTTCCAGCCGCTGGGAGGAAGCCAGGTGTCAGAGGTGTGACGTGGGCGGCGAAGAAGGCTGGCTGGTCTCGGAGCGTTTGGGGCACCTCTAAGTGTCCTGCCCCCCCAGGCTGTGCCTGCTGTTTGTGGGCATCCTTGGGGCAACTCAGGGACCCACGGACCAGCCCTCTGCTCTTCTGTTCTGGGGTCACCTGAAAGCTCTGCCCGCCACCGCTGCCAGGCTCATCAGGAGATGCCAGCGACCAGGCCCCCGGCTCACAAAGCCAGAGAGATCCTGGCGTGTTTACCCTGCAGCCACACGGGGTCTGCGTCTGCAGCAGTTGAGATGAAGTGCCTCTCCCTAGTGCCCCACAGACAGCCCTGCACGCCCCCAGCTCACAGAGTCCCTTGTGAAAGCAGCCGCAGCTCCTCAGGGGACGATGCACATCACTGGTTATAAGCAAAATGCAACTCAAAACGAGATACCCCTTCACATCCACCGGAATGGCTAAAATTTTAAAAGGTAGACAACAGATGCTGAGAAATTGAGACTGACATACATTGCTGGTAGGAGTGTAAACCTGTGCAGCTGCTTTGTGAAACAGTTTGGCACTTCCTCAGGGAAAGGTAAATACAGAGTCGCTCTATGATCCAGCCATTCCACTCCTAGGTATGTGCCCACGAGAAATGAAAGTGAACTCAGAGCAGCATTATTCACAAGAGACAAAAGGCAAGTGACAACAGACAAAACCCAAATGTCTACCGACTGATGAATAAGTGACAAGATGGATGTATACCCAATATTATTGTGCCTGTCATTAAGCCATAAAAAGAAATGAAGTACTGATACATGTTACCTTGAGCCACCAAGGACGAACCTTGAACACATTAGGCTAAGGGAAAGAAGACAGTCACAAGACTGGACAACAGATTGTCTGGTTCCATCTGTATGAAATACCCACGACAGGCAAACCCACGGGGACAGAAGATGGACTAGTGGCCGCCAGGGGCTGGGGGTGGGGAGGGAGCAGAGGACATTGCTATTGGATTCGGTTTTCTTTTTGAGGTGATGGAGCTGTTCTGGTGTTAGTGGTGATGGTTGTATAACTGTGAATAGACTAAAAACCATTGAATTGTATGTTTTAAGAAGGTGAATATTATGATATGTTAACCATATCTCAATAAAGTTGTTATTTAAAAAAAGGAGGTACTTAGGGTGCAAAATGTGAGGATGCTCTGGTCCCTAGGGTCACACAGGTGCAGGAGCGTGTGCCCCCTTAGATTTTGTGCCTGAGTTACCTGGCTCTCCTCAACCTAGTTCAGGCCTTCAGGAGAATGCACTAATTTGGGCTCATTTGAAACAGAAAGGGAAATCTGCTGAGGGACAAGGCTTCCAGGAAAGTCTCCCTGCTTCGGAGAGGCAGTCCTTGGGTCTGTTCCCTTCCTCTGGACATCATCAGGTCAACATGTTTCCAGTCGCTGGGGCCTCTGGTTGCCAGCCTAGGATAACACTGACACATGAGGGATGAGACAGGGCACAGATAACACCCCAAACCTCTGACACCAGCCGGAAGCCTGTCCTGTCTCTGGACCCCCACGTCCTGAGCCAGTCTGACCCCACATCTGTTTCTGTTGCTTTGCTTACACGCCAGCAGCGGCGTCCAAGCACCAGCAGCTCGGACTCGAGGAGTGAGAACGCCTGGCTTCTGTATCTGGGCTCAGGACAGCTCATCAGTGGTGGCACCTCGAACAAACACTTTGTTCTGGCTAAATCTTTCGTCCCTGTAAGACAGCACAACACCATAAAGACCCACAGGACCTCCCTACCCTAAAACAGTTTTGCCACTCCACCTTTGTTTGCTTCCCTGAAGTAGAAGAGTCCAGGGGTCCGGGTCCTCTCTGCCTGTCCGCAGGCGCCCCAGGGGTCACTTCTTCACTGGACGGACAGCCAGCCTGGAGGTCCCCTCGGAACACGGCGGGCGGACACTGTGAATCCCTTTCCCTTTCAGAACCTCTTGTGGGAGTCGCCTGCAGCACCTGCCCCGCCCGGCGCCCCCCACACTCCCGCGTC